CCTTAATGCAGTTGTGCAGGTTCCGCACCTGATGCGGCGCTCCAGCAGGTATAAACACAGCATCGCCCTTGCACTGCACAATAGCATATCCCTCGACGCCGTACTCCTTGTACAGTCTTTCCCTCAACGGCCCGTCCAGGTAGCAACTCTGGTCGTGGATGGGGTCATGGTGGGGTTCCAGGCGACCTCCCTTCTCCACCACGACCTTGTTGAGCAGGTCGCGGATCTTGTCGGCATCGCGGGCGTTGTAAATGTGCCATAGGGCGCCGGGCAGTTCGCCTTTGTCGCGAACGCGGCGGCGAGTTAGAATGTCGCAGCCGGCTTCGTCTGGAATGAAGGAAATTGCAAATTGGTCAAAATTCTTCCCATTATTTCCCAGAAACTAGTCATAGGAATGCTTTGGACCCACGATAACTTTTATTCAGAAAGGCAAGAAATATACCATAGTGAATTATTAAACAAATCGACCTAAACCCATTTTCAATATGTTTTGTGCGGGTTCCTTTGTGCTACAACGGGAAACATGGAGACCTACACTTAAACTACTTCCTCGCGGTTAAACATGCCAACAAATAACAGCTGATTATAGAATACTTCACATCGTCAAGTGATACACAACCCCGTCAGGTCGGTAGACAGGGTTGTATTAAGAGGAAAGGGTATGTCATTGTGCCCAAAAGAACGGATTCATTATAAACTTACCGATCGCCCTGAATGCCTCCTTGATGTGCTCCTCGGTATCTCCATCCTTGGGAATGCCCACATAGACCATCACATTGACGGCGTCCGAGATGTCCAAATGGAGATTCGTGGTACCCTTATTGGGATGCAGCGCGGAGCCGTAAGCATTGTACATCTTGGGACCAAGGTCGGGCCTTACGAAGCAGTCTGGTAGACGCGAAGCCAGGTTCAGACGGCCCGTTCGATGCGTGTATTCAGATAGAGGCAGCACCTGCAAAAAAAATATTGTCAAGGATATGGACAAGAGAACATGCCTTAGGGGATAATCAAAAGGCAGTCTTGAAATCACTATAACCATTGTTTAACGTATTCTTTGGGCGTCTCGTGCAATTTCCATCATTGCAGTCATGTCACCGAGTACGACCTCCATTCTTCTTTCAAAGAAAATTATTTATGCTTAAATATGGCATCAAACATCCAAGGACCGAACACAATTTAACCTCCACTTTAATCATTCCTTAGATCTCGTATCTTCGGAATTTCGTTAACACCTAAACAAAGAGGCCGAGCAGTATATAGTTGCTGATGGCACCACAATACATATTCGCATTTTCGCGTAAGCTTGGTTTTCAACTGTGTTCGTAGAGTATGTTATCAACGCTCAGTGGTTCAAAAAACCTAAAGCATGGCCAAAACTAGGAATATTCACTAAATTTCACCAAACAACTTCAAATATCTCTTCGAGGTCGCTGATAACATATAGTCGAAATCACGAAAGATGACGCTTACATCATCATTTTAGTCTGTAGTAAAGACAAACGACAGCGATTTGTCTATATTTTTAATGAAGTTTCAGATATGTTAGTCAGAGACTAACATAATTCTATTTTCTAAACAAACTGTATTGCTAATTTGCATGTATCCGACAAAGATAGATGATGTTTTCATGTTGCATGATCGATCATTTTTGAAAGATGAATAGTTAAGTTATGTTAACGCAGGTTAGGTTGTTTTCGAATAATACTTTGGTCTTTGTTGTTCCTGTCTAAGGGTGTATTCTATTCATAACTGTTTTTTTTATATGTTTCTGAGGTCGCTGATAACGAATTAGATAATATATTTTCGAGATCAAAACGGCGGACAAGTTTGCAAATAATGTTTCAATTGCTCTCTAAGTTAAGTTTTATGTTGCTGATAATGACTCTATTATCGATTTTTCAATAATAAAATGACCCAAATATGCAAAAAAATGTTTTGCCAATAGTCTAATCATATTAGACGGAAATACCACTGGTTTGCGGAATATTTGTAATCTGGTTTTATTGCTGGAAGTTGTTCAAGGCGTATTTAAAACATGGACGCATAAAATGGGTACACCAATGTTTGTGGATAAACTTTTTATTTGACGTAGGACGAAGGATGAGAAAACGTGTTTTTGAGTCTCAATCGGAAATGTTAGCAGAACAGAAAACTCTTAATATAAGATTTTTAGTTATTTATGACACGTACAAAATGAGAACACACGTAAAAAGATCCGACTAATAGCAAAAAAGTTATGGCCGAAAACCGAGGCAAAATGCAGGTTTTGTCACTTGTTGGTAATACGACGAGGGTGCTCGCAGATACTTGAAATTCTTAAAATTCGTAGGATTTATTCTTCTAAATAACCACAACAATATTAGAGTAGATTGGTCAAGTAGTTTTTGAGAATTCCTAATTGTTTATCTTAAAACACTTGTTTTCCCAGCCAGCACTGCTACTTTAGTGAGCAATATACAGTGTTAGTTCAAAGGGCATTTTATAGCAAAATACACATTAATGTTTTAAACACCCCCTTGAACAACTTGCACCAATAAAACCAGGCTTTACAATTATTTTGCAGATAGCCGCAGCCAAAACTGACATTTTTTAACTGGATATCTGATACACATGGTATTTTTCGAATTAGAGCAGACTGTAATAATTTTCCCAACCTATTTTCAAAATCAATAATTCACTACGAATTACAGAAAAAAATATCAAAATATACTGTCGTACCGGATCATGTGTCGATTGGCCTTTAATACAATGTTACATTTCAAAAACGGTTGTTTTAAAAACATGACACTTTTCGATTATATACTTTTTTCCCATTTGAACGTTTCAGGCGACAGATATTAACTGGACTATAATTCCGGATGCGGAGCCATCTAAATGAAACTAATCAAAATATGAATTACTTATCCCCATAACTGAGCAAAATCTGGAGTCAAACGTGAGAAAAAGAATGGACTTTCGATCAGGTTTTTTGGTTCTTCCGGAATATATATTCTATCATCCTATCAGCTCGAATGTATTCCTGCTATTTTTACGCCCTGTACAATGATGATACGAAAATAACATTTCATCCTGGAGAAATAGTTGTTTCTTACCTTCATCAAATCCGAGTATCTGGTGGGCAGCATCTCGGCAAAGTCCTCGCCGGGCGGCCAGTCCTTCAACTTGAGCAACATCGGCTGCCCCCGATCGTCCTTCAGCCTCTTGGCGAAGTTGTCGAAACCCTCCCAAAACTTCCTCATTGGCTGATTCGGCACCAGATTCCCTGTCATGCAGTTGATCAGATCGTTCTTTTCATCGCCGAAATCCCTGGCGAACGATTCCGGATGCCACAGGTCGGTGTCGACATTGCGCGTGACGTCAGATACTATGACTGGCTGACCGCGTTTCCATTGGTCTTGGAATATCTTGTAGTTCTCCTTGCAAAGAGGATCGCTCAGTCGGAGAAGTTTGCCGTCACATAACCAGCTGTGAGGGGTGTCCGGGTATAGGGTTTTGCTCTCGGTCAAAGTCATTATCCTGATCGGGAGCTGCAGCCTCCCCTTTGCCTGCCAGTTGTACCTGAAAATTAATAAAAGGAAATGTAAAAAGCGTAACTTCGGATGTATGCATATTGATGTTAAATAGCGTCATAGTGGTGGTCAACGTTACGGTAGAGCTAGCTTATTTTTAATAGAGGAAAGTGCGCCTAATAGGCACCCATGCTCCCCCAAATCCCGCTTTTATAGTGGGAACTAAAAATATATCAGGTTCATACAAAAAACATTTAATACCTTCTTACGAAGTGCTTCAGTTCGTTCTTAGGCTCGCTAGATGTCTCCACCTTTTGCGGCACGCTGTCCTCTATCACGCTGGAGATGACGTCATCCAGATCGGCGGGTTTCGTTGGTGGCGGTGGTTTTTTCTTAGTTTCGTTCTTCGACACGGGCGAAGTGGCTCTGGATCCGTTCGCCTTGTGGGACGGTCGGATCAGCAGCTCTCGCAAGGTCGAGAAGTTACCCTCTTCTTCGCTGCTGCTACCCTCTTTCTTGTCGTCTCGATCCGTGATATCTGGAAAATGAGCAACACGTTAAAGTTTAATGTCACAAATTTTAGAAAATAAGTAGACATAGCTCTGAGAAAATTCCTCGAAATAACGTAACGAATATCATAATAATTCTACTCACCGTCTTCATCCTTAATCTCCTTCTTTATCCCATTCAGTTTCTCTCCAAGTATCGATCTGACGATCTCTTTGGCTTGTACATTGTTCGATTTCTGCTGCACGTCTTTGCTCATCGGACAGCTGCAGAACTGTTCGATACCCCACAGGTCGCGGATCTCGTGCACCATCTTCCCTAGTTTGGTTAGCGAATCGCCGGCGATGATTTGAGTCAACATTAGCTTTTCCTGGAATAAATTGTAAACGTAAAATACATTTTTGACCAATGAACAGCTTTCGACGCTTGGTGTCTCGGGGTCGAAAATGACATATTTCATGCTTTATCAAATATTGTATCGCTTATATCTCGAAAACTGTCAACTTTAGAAAAACGTTCTAAACTACCTTTTTTGTAATGTCAAAAAAAACCTAAAATCACTTTGACAGGAGAAAAAAAAATCAAATTTTAGAATGTTTTCAAAAAATTGTTCAAAATTCTGTTGACACTCATTTGGTTCTGGCAACTTGTAGATTCGTTAAAGGTAGGGCCGTTTTTAACCCTTTCAGTACGGCTGACATATTTATACGTCAGTTATAGAATATACCCACCGGCCGGCTGACGTATATATCCGACATCGAAGAATTATATCCATTAGCCTACTGCCTAACAGATTCGACACTTTTAGAAACTGGCATTTCACCACAGACGAGCGCCGTAATATTATGTCAATGTTTCGCTCACTGCTTAGCCGGATGACGGAAGATTTTGGCGTTGCCGAAAATTTACGACATCCGGCTACACTGTCTAGCGTCTGTATCGTGCTTGCGATTTTTGAAACCGAGCGTTATAGTCTTACTTGAAATGGCAGAGGAAGAGTGCGCCGGTCCCTCTGAAAGGCCTACACGTGGCCAAAAGCGTAAGCAACAAAATTCTAGTTACTGCGGCTTGAGCGAGGACGATATCAGGCAAATTTTATCCGTTGTGGATGAGGATGATATCTACCTTAGTGAGGAGGACCCATTTGAAGACAGCGGCAGCGAATACTCACCCGATAATTTAGAAAGTGAAAGTATTAGTTCTGAAGTCTCTTCGGTTGACGAAAATTACGATACCGAACAAGTTACACAAAATGAGGAACCAGAAGATCTGGAAGCTATTTTGCAGCAAAGTGAATAGGAGATTTTTTGGACCTCGAATGAATTTGTCCCTCGAGTACATGAATTTGACCGAAATAACAGTGGTTTGAAGAACGATAATTTGACTCCGGACTCAAAAGAAGTAGATTACTTTCTTAGCCTGTTTTCCGAAGAAATAGTAAATATAGTTGTGACAGAAACGAACAGGTATGCCGCCCAACAAAAGACTAAAAACTGGAAAGATATTAATCTGCCAGAATTGTATGTTTTTCTTGCTATAACTATGTTAATGCCACGCGTGAAGAAACTTGAAATGAAGGAGTACTGGTCTCAGGATAATTTACTACATACGGCTATTTTCCGTCAAAAGATGTCAAGAGACAGATATTTTCAAATTCGCCGTTATTTGCACTTTTGCAATAACGAAGAAGTACCATTGAATGATCGTCTGTATAAAATTGACCAGGTGATGCAAAAATTAAGAAGAAACTTTCAGAACAATTTTTATCCCTTCGAGAACTTAGTTATAGATGAAAGCATGGTGTTGTTTAAAGGAAGGTTGGCATTTAAACAATATATTAAAACTAAAAGACATCGATTTGGAGTTAAGTTATACGTTCTTTGTGACTGTGAAACGGGCTTCGTCTTAGATTTCATCATATACGCGGGTAAAGCTACAAATGTACAAGCTGAAAAAAATCATGATCTGGGTATTACGGGAGCCATTGTTGCCAAACTAATGAGCCCTTTTTTAAATAAAGGGCATTCGCTGTTTACAGATAACTTTTATACGAGCCCGTCTCTGTCAAATTATCTGTTCCAACACAAAACGAACTCTTGCGGCACGGTACGACAAAACCGAAAACAAATGCCAGTATTTGAGAAGAAACTAAAAACTGGTGAAGTCGACTGGAGAAGTAGCAATACTATGTTGGCGCTCAAATGGAAAGACCGCCGCGATGTTATAATGCTGACAACAATACATGCAAATAAAATTGTCTCTCTTCCTAAAATAAGCAGGATTACAAAAGAAAATATAAAGAAGCCGTTATGCGTTGTAGAATATAACACGCATATGGGCGCAGTTGACAGGTCGGACATGATGATCAGTAGCATTGATTGCACTCGTAAATCAATAAAATGGTATGCAAAGGTATTCTTTCATTCTGTGGATGTTACCTTACTAAATTCTCACGCAATGTTTTCGACGCAGCATCCAGAAAAGGTTCCATTTGCAAAGTTTCACTTAGAAGTTATTCGGCAGTTATTGGAAAGGTAAGTTAAAACATCAAGTTTAACAATTAACGTATCTAATAAAAACATTTTTTTTTCAGGTATTCATCGACTGAGGCAAAACCACTTCATTTTGATCAGGGGAATGCAAGGCTGACAGAACGGCATTTTCCGGAATTGGTTCCTAGAAAAGAGGGAAAGAAAAGTGCCACTAGGAGATGCAAAGTCTGCTCCCAGACAAAAGCAGGAATAAAGAAAAGAAAGGAGAGCAGCTACATGTGTAGAGAATGTGACGTTGGGCTATGTGTAGTGCCCTGCTTTCGGATTTATCATCAAGTAGCCGACTTTTAAAAGTTAACTTGCACAATGTTTTTTTTTTTGTTTTGTTTAGTTCTGAGTGTTTTTATTATATTTTTAGGATTTAACTGTTTGATTTTCATTGAGTAATAAAGTTTTTAAGCTGCATTGCTTACTTCGTTAGTGTACTTTAACCTTTATTACGGTGACGGATATATACGTCATCAGGCGCCCAGACAATGCAAAATGTGCCGGCGGTGGTGACAGTACCGTTAAAAAAGGTCCCGTACTGAAAGGGTTAAATAATATTATGTACACCTTTACCGGGGAAGAAATGAGAAAATTCTTACCTGTTCATGGGGTTGTCTATTGGTGCACAACAACCACGAAAACTCGTCTCGATCTTTCCCTGGTTCTCCCCAAACTTTGATGGCACCTTTCTTCCTACTTTTATAACAGTCAATGCACACAACGAAACCACATTTGCCGCACGCCCAGTGAAAATTGAACAAAGTCGTTTCGCACACGTCACACATCTCTCTCACACCTTGTACCACACGTTTCCATGCTACTGTTTTATCTGAAAAAAATGCACAAAGTTAATTTACTTTACATATTTTATAAACAAACTGTTGTTATATCGCCAGCACTGCCTCACTGCTCAACACTGCTATGTTAGAAACTGTTTTTCTTTTTTTGTTTTTATTTGAACCGACATAGATATTGTACAATAGATCTTCAAGATTACCTTCAGACATATGTTCGGCATTGGCTTCTTTTTCTTGCACTAACAGATCACAAAAATGATCACCAACTTGTTTAAGTAGAAATCTGGATGTTTCTAGGTCTAAATCAGTTGGCGGATTTTCCTTATTGGGCAGCCACAACTTCAAGTCATCCTGATGAAAGTAGAAAAAATACATTTATACATACACACAAAAACATTCAGCTGATCAAATATTTTAAAAAAATTTAATTTTTGTAATAATAACAGACTTGAATTAGATGTCTTTAAAGCAAAGCAATTATGTCAGCGAGGATATGCAAGGCAAAGTGACAGACATTGTGTTTGAAATGTAGTTCTTGTTCCCATGCATTTAAAGTTAAGATAACGGAATGTTTCAAGCTCATATTAAAGCCGAATTTTATAAAAACAATGAATATTCCTCAATTTTGATGTCATATCATCATCTTACCTCCATGGCATCCTTATGCGGATCAGAGAACCCGGCGATTGCCAGCTGTCCGTTCTTAGTATACCTCAACCTCCTGAAGGCGTAGAACCGACAGAAGATGTTCGGCATGTTCTTCGAGCGTTGGTTTGGCGTCCACCGGCATTCGCGGCATTTTGCCAATTTAGGAGCCACTTCGAAACAGGGGCCGTCCTGCAAGAAGGTCTCGCCGGTCTTTTTCAGTTGCCCCACGGGGGGTTTGCGAAAGGGGTCACGAGGGGGCTGCTGCGGCGGTTGAGATGGCGGCGTGTTGTCGTCCTTGCTCTTCTTTGGTCGTGGCTCCTCGCCTCTATCGTTTTTTGAACTCTGTAACAACAGAAAATTGGTAAACACTAAAACTTACACGAACAATACGAAGTCGGAGGCTAGTTATTGAAAACGAGGGAGTAGAATTCCCTCATAGAATCGAATTACTAAGACTTTTTCTAGCAACTTTCGACGTTTATTAAATAAGTTTGTGGGCACATTCATTTCCGGTAAAATAGTTAAATCTACCAAGTGTTTCGTATCATTGAAAGGCTCAAAAGACTCCTGCACTTTTTCCCGCTAACTATCAAGAGAATGACCAGGGGGACTTTTCAACCAAGTAAATATTAAAGGATATAATTCATCGAAGAGAAGTAGAAACGCACTTTCTATTATTTTACTCTTTTGTTTTAAACTGAACTAAAGAAAAACCGCCTTGTACTGAATAAAAGTTGTATATATTTATATCCTCTAGATTATTTTCCGCGAGATTATTCAAAGTCAACAGATTACGTATATACACTTTCCGAATATTTTTAAGTATCAAAATACAATATTTTTAGAGCAGACCAGAAATCGGAAAAAAATATCCATCAAACGGGTAAAGATATCGACTCAAAATCCTGAATATGTTGTACACACTGCAGACAGGTGCATACATACATTTTGTTTGCATCTTGAACTACCCAGTAGAGTAGATAATGAGATACTTTGTCAGAAGAATGAGAAAAATGTTTACGCCCTAGATTTTTTTTTTTAAGTGCATTGCTTTTTTGAATTAGGTATTTAATTTTACTGATACTGTCCGTCACGAAATTCTGAAAAACAGAATATCAATGCAGAGGCATTTACAACACCTTGAGCCTCGATAATTTTAGGCCCATACAGGATTTTTTCTTATTTTTGGATACGCTTTCACCTCTACAATTAAGGCCTAGAGTTTTTTAATCATCCTGTATAAACAACAAATCTATTTACCTTGGGTCGTCTACCTCGTTTCCTTGGCTCCTTTCCAGCATTTCCAGACTTTTTGCTGGGCGCCGAGGCACTGGCACCTGAATCGCTGTCTTTTTCACTGCCACTCTCTTTTTCGCTATCACTACCGCTTTCGCTAGCCATTGCTGGTGTTTGGCTACCTGAAAACCCAATAAAAACTCTTTACTAACTGATCAAAGGAATGAGTGTCAATATGCAGATATTTTCACATCGTAACGATAGTATGCTTGTTTCGGTGGTGAATTTTGATAGAACTAAAACGGTTGGAAACAGTTGACCAATTTAGGTTGATGCATAGAATTTTGACAACTCGTTTTGTCCAATAAGCAAATTCTTTTGACGGTGATTCTAGTTCAAAGTTGACCAGTTTATAACCAAACTAATTCTATTCATAACAAAGGTCAGGACCTAGTTCTGAATTTTTAGAACTACCCAGGGAGGCATTTTAGATGTGTGATATACAAAATAGCGTACTTTTAACGTAACAGCAATGGTAAAAAAATGAACCAACACTCAAGAAAATTTAAAGAAGAGGTGAAATAATGCATTATGATGCTTAAAATCACTAATATCAACCTACCTTTGCGTTTCTTGTCATCTGGTGGCTTCTTCACCGCGCCGCCGCCCTTTTTCCTCTTGACCTTGGGCGGTTTCCTTTTGGGCGGCGATTTCTGTCCCCTTTCCTGATCACTACTTGATGAATCATCATTCTTAGGGTCCCCATTTACCGCGGGCGTTTCTTTCGGCGTTTTGCGATTCGCCGTCGATTTGGATCCGAAATGCTTCGTTTTGTTTATACTGTTCACCGCCATGCTGCCCACCGAATGGATCGAATTCACGGGGTTTTCCTTGGCGACGGGGGTAGTTGAAGGGGCGGGAGGGGTACTAGCAGGTAGGGGCGGCGTTTTTATGTTTAGGGGTAACGTCACGCAGCTGCCCGAGCCTACCACTCCTGTCGTGTCCTCCATGTCTAGAAATTGAACACGCATATTTGAAAAACGCTTTAGCTGCATTAACTTTCATTGATACTTGAAAAATGGCGGTTGAAGAGAAACATGCATTTCAAGCTGAAGACAAGGACAACACGTTTCGATCAAATCAGTACAGCAGAGTTTATTTGATGTTAAATCTTCTTACCTTCGCCTATATGCTTCTGCAACCACGCTTTTTTTAGATGCCTAACTGGGTAACTACTACTGGAAGTCTTTTGAGGTCCTGGACTGTTGGATTTCTCAGAGTCTACGACGCTAGGTGTGAGAGATGTAGTTTTCACGGTAGCTCCAGGGGGTTCTTCAGGGGGCGTGGGGGTAGACGCTGCACTTACTGATGTAGTAGTGGGCGCCGGACTAGAAGAAAAAAAGGGTTATTTTTCTTATTTGTTCAACAGAAAAATTGGAGCGAGGGAAACAGATGGAAGATAGTATCTACCTGTTGCTGGCTGCAGGCACAGGAGGAGTAGGTGTTGCAGGTTTCGGACTGGAAACTTCTATGGAGGCAGGCCGCACAGGTTCAACCGTTACGGCTGTCACACTGACGTCCGGTAAGTTTTCTGATAACACAGTCACGCTGGCGCTCACAGGAGGTGTTCTGTATGCAGCTGTATTCACCACCTTGAAAAAAATGTTCGGATTGTAGGTGTAGGTGCATAATAATATAAAATTAGATCCCAAACTGCAAAGCACCACAGGCTCGGGCTTTTCAAAACTCATAACGCCTGAGATACATAGATAGCATATACACAAAATGTGTATGGTAATAAAACCATAAATAAATTCACCGTACTATTGGATCACTGGTAGTTGCGCCGACGCCTAGCAACGAATAAATAAGGACAGTACCCGCGGTTGAAATATTGTATTCAAGTTACTTTACCGCCCTGGGAAGAAGGAGACTATAGGCTCAAAAGTGAGATTTAACTTCCGGAAAACCGACTCATAAAGTATACTTTCACTTCCCACGCCTATAGGCGAGGAAGTATTGTGATTGCGAATATTTCCGAAAAAGAAATATAAATATTAGGGGTGGAGGAGTATAGTCTCTACTTGATACCATTGTTATTATCTACTTATCACCCTAGGGCGTAAAACTTATTAGTACGCCGCCCAGTCGCAGATAAAGAAAATTAGTATAGATTGAGCCTACGTGCTTTTTATCTATCCAACATTTTATCATTGATCCAGGAAAAAATTCTATAACTGCTTCGAAAAATCAAACATTGCTACTGTAACAGAAGCTTTCGATGTTTGGATACGTTCCAAACTTACAATGAACGACCGGTCGTTTACAACATACAAAACAATCTTTAGGAACGCTATTACCTGAACTATAATGAAAACATTTCTGTAAAACTGGAGGCGAAAAAACTTTCAACTTTGCACTACTACAATAATATATCACGAATTCAGCGGAAATAATGCACTAAAAATGCATGCTAACAGTTATCTGTTCAGGGCTCAACTGAAAACAGCATAATGTGGTTCTTTGTAACCAGTCCAGATGTGGTTGGGTCAGTCCAAGAATAAGGAGAAGAAACATACAATTTGCAGGTAGAGTGAAAGAGAAGGCGATACAAAAGAGTCCCCTTCCTAAATGTT